ATAATCAATCTGATTTTGGTATTGGCCATCTGGTGATGTCCATGTGTAGAGTCGCCTCTTGTGTTGTTGGAAAAGAGAGTTTGTGATGACCAGCTTGTTCTCTTGACAAAGCTCTACTATCCTTTGCCCTGCTTTGTTTTGAACTCCAAGGCCAAACCTACCTGTTGTTCCTTTTATCTCTTGACTCCCTACTTTAGCATTCCAATCCCCTATAATGAGAAGAACATCTTTCTTTGGTGTCAGTTCTAGAAGGTATTTTAAGTCTTCATAGATTTGGTCAATTTCAGTCTCTTCAGCATCGGTGGTTGGTGCATAAACTTGGATTACTGTGATGTTGAAAGGTCTGTCTTGGATTCATACTGAAATCATTCTATCATTTTTGAGATTGTATCCCAGTACAATTTTCCCACTCTTTTGTTGACTCTGAGGGCTACTCCATTTCTTCCAAGGGATTCTTGCCCACAATAGTAGATATGATAATCGTCTGAATTGAATTCGCCCATTGCCGTCCATTTTAGTCCACTGATGCCCAGGATGTCAATGTTTATTCTTGCCATCTCCTGTTTGACCACATCTCACTTACCAAAGTTCATAGATCTTACATTCCAGGTTCCTATGCAGTATTTTTCTTTGCAACATCAAACTTTCCTTTCACTTCCAGGTGTGTCCACAGCTGAGCGTCCTTTTGGCTTTGGCCCAACCACTTCATTAGCTCTGGTGCTACTTGTACTTGTCATTCACTCTTCCTCAGTAGCATGTTGGACACCTTCCAACCTGAGGGTCCCATCTTCCAGTGTCATATCTTTTAGCCTTTTGTTTCATGGGGTTTTCTTGGCAAAGATACTGGAGTGGCTTGCCAATTCCTGCTCCAGGTGGATTGCGTTTAGGCCGAACTTTCCACAATGACCTGTCCATCTTGGGTGTCCCTGCACAGCATAGCCCATAGCTTCTCTGAGTTACTCAAGCCCCTTGCCACGACAAGGCAGCAATCCATGAAATACATAGTCATGTATTTATATATATATGACTATATATATATATATAAATCCCTTAAAATAAGCCCTAATGAGTTTTTGGAGCAAAAATTAATATAAGACCTTGTGTTATTTTCAGGGAAACTAAACAGGCAGGCAGGCAGGCAGGCAGGCAGGTAGGTAGGTAGGTTTATAAGATGAGAGAGAGATTTATAAGATTAGATAGGTAGGTAGGTAGGTAGGTTTATAAGATGAGAGAGAGATTTATAAGATTAGATAGGTAGGTAGGTAGGTAGGTTTATAAGATGAGAGAGAGATTTATAAGATTAGATAGGTAGGTAGGTAGGTAGGTTTATAAGATGAGAGAGAGATTTATAAGATTAGATAGGTAGGTAGGTAGGTAGGTTTATAAGATGAGAGAGAGATTTATAAGATTAGATAGGTAGGTAGGTAGGTAGGTTTATAAGATGAGAGAGAGATTTATAAGATTAGATAGGTAGGTAGGTAGGTAGGTTTATAAGATGAGAGAGAGATTTATAAGATTAGATAGGTAGGTAGGTAGGTAGGTTTATAAGATGAGAGAGAGATTTATAAGATTAGATAGGTAGGTAGGTAGGTAGGTTTATAAGATGAGAGAGAGATTTATAAGATTAGATAGGTAGGTAGGTAGGTAGGTTTATAAGATGAGAGAGAGATTTATAAGATTAGATAGGTAGGTAGGTAGGTTTATAAGATGAGAGAGAGATTTATAAGATTAGGTAGGTAGGTAGGTAGGTAGGTAGGTAGGTAGGTAGGTAGGTAGGTAGGTAGGTAGGTAGGTAGGTAGGTAGGTAGGTTTATAAGATGAGAGAGAGAGACTGGAATGCAGTAATGACTTGCAACTAGGGGGGAGAGGCCGGACCGCTGTGGCATCTGTGGCGCCAATATTTGTGTTTGTAGAAGCCTCATGCCGCAGTGGTTAAACTGCTGGACTGCAGCCAAAACTGTGCTCACGACCTGGGGTTCAAATCCCAGGTAGCCGGCTCAAGGTTGACTCAACCTTCTATTCTTCCGAGGTCGGTAAAATGAGTACCCAGCTTGCTGGGGGGGAGGCAATGTGTAGCCTGCATAATTAACTTGTATACCGCCCAGAGAGTGCTTGAAGTGCTATGGGGCGGTATATAAGCAGCACGCTTTGTACCCCCAGGGATATGAATAGCCCAAAGGTATTTTAAGTGAAAGATAAGTATATATGCTCCACATGCCATAGAGTATGTGGAGAATTAACACATGGACATCCACGTTCGGTTTCCCCCACCACCTTATCTGCTCTGTGCCAACTTTTATCCATTAGTTCTGTTTTATTTTTATTTTTATGTTCGGAACAGAGGATCTGCCCCTCCCCACTTTATTTTGTGTGCCTTTTTGAAGTGGCAGATTTTGCTCACACCCCGTCCCCTCTCTGCCACTGTTGACTGAAGCAAATTTGTTTTACCTGTACTCATACATTTTTTTTAAAAAAAGCCCCAATAGCATCAAAGGGCTGCAGGACTGCAGCCCTTTGATCCTGCAGCCCTTTTGTGGCTGCTTTCCCCTTCCACTTCCTAAGCCCCGCAGGGCGAAGAGTAGTCCACCGCGACTAGATAGGCGGGATATAAATTAAATAAAATAAATAAATAAATAAATGAAACCCTGACCTCCACCCTTGTGCAGCAACCAGAAGAATTTTCGGGGAAACTAGACAGACAGGCAGGCAGGCAGGTAGGTTTATAAGATGAGAGAGAGAGAGATTTATAAGATTAGATAGACAGGCAGGCAGGCATCTACCAATAGTCTAAAGATTTTAGATAAAAGTATCATGTTATACAAAGAAAAATACGGTATATGGTCCTTTGAATACTCTTGAATTTCACTACCCACTATCCTTGTGATGGATCTGTAGCTACTGCAGAGGAAGAGTCACGCAGGAGGCAAAAGGAAACTTTTCTTACACTTGCGATCAGTGGTAGATTTTGCTCACATCCCGTCCCATCTCTGCCACCATTGACTAAAACAAATTTGTTTTAACTGTTCGCATACTGTACATTTTTTAAGAAAAAAGTCACAATAGCTTCTCACGGTGAGGTTCTCTGTCCCTGGCAGGTGCCAAATTCCCAATCAAATGGACAGCGCCTGAAGCGATTAACTATGGGATTTTCACCATCAAGTCTGATGTCTGGTCTTTTGGGATCCTCTTAACCGAAATGGTCACCTACGGTCAGTCCCCCTACGCAGGTACTGTATAACCCGTGATAAAACATCGTTTGGTTGGTTGAGCAGAGGCTAGTTTTTGCTCCAGTGGAGTAATTGCGTGGCTGTTCGTTCAAGGTGATGAGTGGCACTATTTCAAATATGTATTTCTCGGGGGGATTATTTAATATTGTCACAAAGGGATGTGGTGGCGCTGCGGGTTGAACCGCAGAAGCCTCTGTGCTGCAAGGTCAGAAGACCAGCCGTTGTAAGATCGAATCCATGCGATGGAGGGAGCTCCCGTCGCTTGTCCCAGCTCCTGCCAATCTAGCCATTCGAAAGCATGTAAAAATGCAAGTAGATAAATAGGTACCACCACGGTGGGAAGGTAACAGCATTCCGTGTCTAGTCGCGCTGGCCACGTGACCATGGAAACTGTCTATGGACAAACACTGGCTCTACTGCTTGGAAAATGTTGATGAGCACCGTGCCCTAAAGTCGGACACGACTGGACTAAATGTCAAGGGGAACCTTTACCTTCTTAATATTTTCAGGCAGTGGATAAGTGAATCCCGTGGATAGGGGGGTCCTGTTGACTGTCCTTCCCTTAAGTTTCCTCATGCAAGTGACATCCTTTTAAGTTATTTTCTTAGAGGTAAAATAGAGTCCTTCTCCGCCCACAGGCTACCTTTGAATCTGGAATAATGAAAGAGAGTGTTCCATTTTATAGGTCATAACCTGCACGTTGAATCGGGCCCAGAAATGGACTGGTCGCCCATGCAGCTGTTGTATAACAGAGGCATTCGACGTGCCTTATAAGTGAGAGTCCGGCTGTTGCATCTTTCATTGCCTCCCTTGTTGACGAAGCAGGAGGCGATATGCATCAATTACCAAAGTTGGGGTTGGCAGAAACCATTTTTTAATTTAATCAATATCTGCTGTTACCTTCCACGTGTCCCCAGCAAACAGAACTGCTCACGTGCTTACAGCTGCAACATGGAGAGGCTGTTTCTTCTGAACAGGGGCACTAAACTCGTTATTTTATGGGTTCTTTTTTTCCACGGTAGCCTCTCTGAACTTGAGGCCCTGGGGTTAAGCTAGAGAGCCGGTGTGATGCAGAGTTTAGAGTGTTGGGAACTAAGAGTCTTGAGTTCAAATCCCCGCTTGCTCATGAAACTCGTTGGTTGGCCTTGGGCTATTCACACATGCTCAGGATAAAGTAGGTCTGCAGCCTTGAACTCAGTGGAGGAAAGGTGAAGTATGAATTAAGAAATAGCTAATAAATGCATTACGAATGAGTGCATGGGTGCTGCATATTGAGTCGCTCTTCATAGCAATATTTGAGCAGGTTGGCAAGGTATGCCCCTGTTCTAATTAGAACTGAAGCTGATCTGGGGATGATGAAAGGTGAACCCCACTGAAAATGGGGGGTTCAGTATTTTTCCGCGTGAAAGGTGAACCCCACTGAAAATGGGGGGGGGTTTCAGTATTTTTCCGTGTATAAGACTACCTGATGTATAAGACGACCCCTACTTTTCTAATCCCAAATTAGAAAATTTGATCGCTGCTTTTCCCCTCCACTTCCTAAGCCCCACGAAAGCAGGATCAAAGGGCTGCGGGAGGGAGAAAGCAGCGAACTTAGGAAGTGGAGGAGGGAAGCAGCCATCAAAGGGCTGCAGGACCGGGGGAAAGCAGCCATCAAAGGGCTGCAGGACCACAGGCTTTTCATCCACTTCATAAGCCCCGTAGGACTTAGGACGTGGAGAGGGAAAGCAACCATCAAAGGGCTGCAGGATCAAAGGCCTGCAATCTTGCAGCACTTTGATCCCTCCCCCCCCATGTATACGTCCATGTATAAGACGACCCTCAATTTTCAGTCTAAAGATTTTAGATAAAAAGTATCATCTTATACACGGAAAAATACGGTATATGGTCCTTTGGATACTGTTGAATTCGTATCATCTTATACACGGAAAAATGCAGTATATGGTCCTTTGGATACTGTTGAATTTCACTACCCATTATCCTTGTGATGGATCTGTAGCTACTGCAGAGGAAGAGTCATGCAGGAGGCAAATGGAAAGAAACTTTTCTTACACTTGCGATCAGGAGATCCTTTTAGGGTTAGAGCAGGAGGAGAGATCTCTAGACTTGGTGACATAAGCCCCTAGAGCTGGCTTGCCGTGTTGGCAGGTCTGCTAGAAATCATTTGTCTAACTGAAATAGAGGAACTGTGAAGATGTTTAATTAGCTGCAATTGTGTCAGTGGGTCAGGCATTCTGGCTTGCAAAGACTGGGCTAAGGTGTGACTTCCAGACTCCTGTCTCTGTGTTAAACATGCTTTAAAATTGGCTTCGTTGAAAAAAAAAAATTTCAAAAGTGGTTTTGAAAATAATTGGCTGCCTCTCCCCTCCTTTCCTGAACTTTTCTTGACCTAAGGGGGGACAAAAGAAAATATCCCCCCTCTAGTGGTAGAAGGCAGAATAGCAGCTTCCCATTAGTTTCCCATCAGTTTCTATGGACGGAAAAGAGCAGATATGGATTAAATGGTTTTCAATGCATTCCTATGGGAAATGCAGATTCGACCTACAAACTTTTCGACTTACAAACTGCCTTCCAATACGGATTAAGTTTGTAAGTCGAGAGCCCACTGTATAGTATTTGAAAGGACCTAAACATTCAGGTTACTTGGTCCATGCATCACTTCCAACTTGACAGTTTGCAAGAGAGAGAGAGAGAGAGGATACACTTATATTTTATTTCTTTTCTTTCTCTTCCACAGCTATGACCAATTATGAAGTTATCCGTAGCCTAGAACGGGGTTATCGGATGCCCTGCCCAGACTCGTGTCCTCTGGAACTTTACGCAGTGATGCTAAAATGCTGGAAAGTCAACCCTGAAGAAAGGCCAACCTTTGACTATCTACAATCTGCCCTGGAGGACTATTTCACGGCCACAGAGACACAGTACCAGCCGGAGCCTGGAGTTTCCTGAGCTACGATCCTGTCTGACCAAGTGGCCAGAGACTTTGGGGGAAAAAAAATCACACCCTGGAATACTGGTGTGCGGGATTTGGTCCGAATCATGCCAAACCTTTCCATCTTCGATGTCATGTCTGTCGCCCATGTCCTCTGTTCTCCGACCCTGGTGAAAGGAGCTGCTTTCCGGAGCCGTCTGGAGATCACAAAGAAGAAAACTCTATGCCAAGCATTAAAAGATGATTCAGAAAGCAAACACCTACCTTACCTTTTTCAGTCACATTCCCTTCTCGGTATAGTCCCCAACCACCCTGGCTTCCCAGAAATAAATAATTTAAACAGCCAAGGCTTTATCGGTTAAGCAACAGAAGAGAAGGCTAAATTTGTCAGCTAGTGTCTGCTGCTCACTTAGCCAGAATTTGGGAAAGTTATTTTTTTCTATATCATAGGTCCCAGCATGCTTCAGTCAGCATGGCTGGTGACAGGAAGATTGGCACAGCTATATGAAGGGATTCCGAAATTTGAAGGACCAAAAAGTAGGCGTAGATAGTGTTCCTAGCAATGTTGAATAGCTGCTGTGGGAAGTGGCCAGCAGACAGAGTAGTGTGGGAACATGGTTTCTGTGAAGATGTTTGATTAGCCGCAATTGTGTCAGTGGGTCTACTCTGTGTCTGATTGGCTCATATCCATTCTTTTCATTGGGGAAATTATTCTCTCTTTTTTTTTCCAGACAGCACTGTAAGTATAAGGAGGTCTCTGAACTGCCTCACCATCTCTGAGTTGTTGGCAACCCTAGATGAATTGCTACCATTTTTTACCCAAAATGGTCTGGTATTAACGTGCACCTGCCCTTCATGGATCCTATTGGATAGATTCCAGCTGCAGTGACCAAAATCTTGTTGCGTGGGTTCCACCTACAAAACTAGGATGAGCAGATTACACCTGCAAAACTGTCCTCATGAGCAGATGGCATTGACGACTTCCTTTTTTCCAGTCCCGGGCTGCACACAACTTTGTCTCATTGTCTGTAAGCTGCGAGCACCCTGGAATCAAAAAGGGGAGTATTCAATCCTCAGCAATCTACTCCAGACAATGATGTCATACTTATTGCACAGGTGGAGGTGCACAACAGGATTCGGGGCAGTATTTTCTCCCCAGAAAAAATGTGATCCCCACATTCACACGGCCGTTTTCATTTACTATGGTGAGTGAAGAGCTACCGCAGCAGCTGATGTTAAAAGGTACAGGCTGGTACTGGTGAAGCAAGTGACACAGCCATTGCTGCTCTTCTTTCTAGAGATCCAGTAATTCCTAGGTACAGAGTCTGAAAGAAGATCAGGGAACTGAGGCACAGAGGACGTTCTCTGACCCTGAATAAGACCTTTTGACCATCTACCTCAGAGTGCGACCACAACAGCAAACAATGCAGGAAATGCTATGGGTTCGGGGTGCGTTGATTCACGTTTTTTTCCCCCACTGACCACATGACACAATGTGAGATGTGACTCAGCCCAGAGTAAATCCCCCCCCATCCGTAGTTTTTTTTCCTCTCCCCCTCTGGGGCTTCTGGTTTCCAAAAAACAAGATCTATTTGCATCGGTGCGGGCATGTCATTGCTTGAAGTGATACAGAAAAGCCACCATACCAGCACACACTTAGGGAACGGTGAGCAAAGCTCATTGCAAGATTTCCCCCCCCTTTATTTTTTTAAACAGCTACGGGTGAGCAAAGCATTTCTTTTTCTAAAACCAGCTGACGGCATAGCTAACAAGAGAGGAAGTGCTTGTTTACAGCTTACTAGGTAGCTCATTTGTAGCAGCGCCACCTGCAGGGCTGCAAATCAAGATGCAAACAAGGCTTTCCTTCTGTCTTCCTGTCGGGCCAATTCATGTGGAGAGAAACTGGGGGAAACCTGAATTTCTCTGGTGCCATTTTACAGCAAAGAGACTTATTTGGAATGCCAGCGAATTCCATTTCCCTCGCAATGCAACCACACCCTCGGAGGCAGTCATCTCCTGCTTCCGTCAAAACATGATGCAAGCCCATGATCTAACTGAAGGTACTGAAACTTGAACCCAGGACTTCTTGCATGGAAAGCCACAGCCCTTTCTGACTTCTGGCAGAAAGAGAACCTCCAGCAGTCCTGAGAACACAAATGGTCACTGGCAAGCTCCACCAGACCAGGCTTCAGCTGGAAGTGAGCTGAGAGAAACAGCATGTCTTCTCTGATCCTGTGGTCTGTGCTGGCAGTTATGATGGGTCAAGCCAGTGCAAGGCTCGAGGAAGGGGTGTGTGTGTTTCTCTTGGTGACTACAAGTCCCAGCATCCCCCAGCATGGGAAGTCCCATAAAGGGCCTTTCCCAAGTTCAGCGTTGAGGTCTCCCACACTGGGCAAAACGGCCAGCATGCGAACGAATGAAGAAACAGTTCTCATGGATGTCACTTCTCCCTCTCTTCCCACCCCCAGTTTAGCCCAGTTTGCCTGGGTTGCAAGGCGGAAGAAAACTCCCCCCCATCCTGCGGGGACCTTCTCATGCCTCACAGCATGAAACAGGGGAATGAGGCCTCCACGAACTTGGTGTGGGCGTGCAATACCATTACACAACGATGGATGGGTCCCGGAACTTCCAACCCCAAATCTGTGGTTTAGCCAATCTGTTGTTTCGTCATCGTTGCTGATTTTTAATTAAACGGTTCTTCATTTTGCTATTGTTGCTGTTGTTTCAGTTTCAGGCTTGTATTGTTTAGATGTCCTCAAAAAAGCCCAAGGCAGTAATACAGAAATATTGCTGAAATTGCAATACCCTGAAATCTAAAATCACATATTGCAAGTTTCTGAAAACCCAAGTTTAATATCTTCAATAACATTCATCTAAACATGGATATGGAACAACTGATTGGCTCAAAATTGGGAAAGGAGTACGACAAGGCTGTATATTGTCCCCCTGCTTGTTTAACTTATATGCAGAATACATCATGCGAAAGGCTGGACTGGATGAATCCCAAGCTGGAATTAAGATTGCTGGTAGAAATATCAACAACCTCTTATATGCAGATGATACCACTCTGCTGGCAGAAAGTGAGGAGGAATTAAAGAACCTTGTAATGAGGGTGAAAGAGGAGAGTGCAAAAATGGTCTGAATCTCAACATGCAAAAAACTAAGATCATGGCCACTGCTCCCATCACCTGCTGGTAAATAGAAGGGGAAGATATGGAGGTAGTGACAGATTTTACTTTCTTGGGCTCCATGATCACCGCAGATGGGAACAGCAGCCACGAAATTAAAAGACGCTTGCTTCTTGGGAGGAAAGCAATGACAAACCTAGACAACATCTTAAAAAGCAGAGACATCACCTTGCTGACAAAGGTCTGCATCGTCAAAGCTATGGTTTTTTTTTCCCAGTAGCGATGTATGGAACTGAGAGCTGGACCATAAAGAAGGCTGACCGCCGAAGAATTGATGCCTTTGAATTGTGGTGCTGGAGGAGACTCTTGAGAGTCCCCTGGACTGCAAGGAGAACAAACCTATCCATTCTGAAGGAAATCAACCCTGAGTGTTCACTGGAAGGACAGATCCTGAAGCTGAGGCTCCAATACTTTGGCCATCTCATGAGAAGAGAAGACTCTGGTCCATGGGGTCACGAAGAGTCAGACACGACTTAACAACTAAACAATAACAACAACCAGCTCTCTAGGGTTAGACTCCATGACCTTTGGGGCTCCCTTCCAACTCTACTCTTGCATGGCTCTTCATGACGAGCAAATGTAGACAGACATACAGACAATTTGATAGATAACCAGGAAAGAGAACAATGTGAGAAAGAGAACAAGAAAAAAAAGGGGTTCCCTATTGACCTCCTAACCATCTGGGAAGAAGGAGGTTCTTCTTCTCCCTGGACCTCAAATGCAGGTCAGATGCTTACCTTGGATAAAGAACTGATAAGGTTCCTTTCAGGCTTCGTTTATCTCACTGCCCTGGACTCAAGTGCATAAAGAAGAGGTGGTGCTTAATCTGATTTGTGTGTGTATGTACTCTGCTATCATGTCGGAACCAACTTATGACCCTAATAGGGTTTTCAAGGTAAGTGAGATATTTTAACGAGTGGCTATGCCAGTTCCACTCGCCCAGTAAGTTTCCATGGCTGGCTGGGGATTTGAACCCTATTCTCCTGACTCCTAGTCCATCACTCTATCCACTACACCACACTGGGAAGCCAGTAAAGTCACCTCTAGATTTTTGTCATCGCCGTTTAGTCGTTTAGTCGTGTCCGACTCTTTGTGACCCCATGGACCAGAGCACGCCAGGCCCTCCTGTCTTCCACTGCTTCCCGTAGTTGTGTCAGGTTCATGCTGGTTGCTTCAGTGACCCTGTACAGCCATCTCATACTCGGTTGTCCCCTTCTCCTCTTGCCTTCACACTTTCCTGACATCGGGGTCTTTTCCAGGGAGTCTTCTCTTCTCATGAGAGGACCAGATTTTAGTGCCCTGTAAATGTTAGAGTCCTGGGACAAAGCCCCAGCAGTCCCACCTTAATCACTGCCCTACATGTTAATTAATAGGGACATATTGCATAGCTATGATGAGCAGGCTAGAAAAAGGCAGCAAGGGACTAATTGTTCCCTCTTGTGGCCAATTCTGAGACAACAGCATGGAAATTTTTACAAAAAGATCAAAAGGCAAAACCAACTCATGCGGTCACCTAGGATGGCTAAGGGAAAGACATAAAACTTGCAGGTTTCCCATCACTGCTAACTAGACATTATTGATTGATTAGCCATCCTTGAGTCTTGAGAGACTATGGTAACTTGCTCTGTATAGAGGACTTGGAACAGCGTCTAGTGTGGCTGAGAAGGCCAATTCAAGAGTGACAATCCCTTCCACACTGAAGACAAATTTAATCTGTCCCCTGTCCAGCTCCCTGGTTTTGCTGGTTTCAGGTCTGCCTCTTGGCCTCGGCCTGCTGGACAAGGATCTCTTCAAATTGGGAGAGGCCATGATGCACCACCTGCCTCCAGGCTGAATGCACAGATGTCAAGGTTTCCCATCTGTTGAGGTCCATTCCTAAGGCCTTCAGATCCTGCTTGCATATCTTGTATCACAGCTGGGGTCTCCCCCTGGGGAGATTTCCCTGCACTAATTGTCCACCCAGGAGGTCTTTTGGAATCTGACCATCAGCCATTCTCACGACATGCCCGAGCCAATGTAGTCGTTGCTGTTTCAGTAATGTATACATGCTAAAAATTCCAGCTCGTTCT